TGTGATCTTCACATTAAACTGTGAAATACACACGTTAAACGCACCTGTGTCCCAAGCGTGATCGCCTAATACGAGCCGGCAACTTTCAGGAAATTACCTTTGGGACCAGTTTAACTTAACCGAAAACCTGTCCGAGCGTGCCACAATCGATCGATCGTTGTAAACCTGTTTTTAGGCAATGAACGGAAAAATTTCTGTGCCTCATCGACGTATTGTAACACATACAAGTCACGTTTATTTTTATATAAGACAGTAATAACTTTGTTATTGTCAAAAAATTGTACTTTGCAAATATCTAATTATTTTATTAAAACAATTAGTAAATATATAAATACCGTTATTTATGTATCTCGTTATTTTGTATTAACTGTCTGTCTGCACTCTAAAGCTTCATTTCTTAAAAATATCGTATATGAAAATACTATACTAAAAAAAATATAATACAAAAATTTTAATAAATTTTAGTTTAGTATCAACTGAAAATGTACTAAATGTATACATGTATTTATTTTGTACAAGAATCATTAATTTGATTTAACTATCACTTTTTTATTTACTTAATAAATATTTATTTACCATAAATAAATGTTAAGTTAGTACTATTCAAATAAATATTTATTAAAATTACATTTTTCTTACTGTGAGAAAATTTATAATATACGTAACGTATACTATAACATAACACGCTTATCTTAGTGCTACTGTGTCTCTAGACACTTTTGCATATTTTCGTATGCGATATTTTTTTAAATACGGCCTCTGGATCTTTTTTAGCACAAGTAAGTTTCTCTATATAAAGAAGAAAAAAGAAGAAATAAATCGAGAAAATATTTGGTAATGTAAAAATACATATTAAAAAATAACTCTGAATTTTTCCACATTTTTTTGAAAGTCTAGAATAAAGAAACCTGAACTGAACAAAAAAGATTACAGACAGAGGGTGAAAAAATATGATTAGAGATAGAATAAGGTTAACATTTATTATAAAGTGTAATAATCATTTAAAAATCAAATTGGCTTACATGAATTTTATATATCGTAACAAGCGCAACCTTAAAATCTCATTTTTCGGACTTTCATGATAAATACATCAGAATTTATCTTTGCAGCTGATATTAAATCACAGGCTTTAACTTAAATGAGTTCTAATACCATTCTGAACGATAAAATAGAAGCTATTATGTTCGCAGTGTACAAAGAATAATAAAAGCTGTTATACATTTTAATGATACGCATTATTCGCTATCATGCATGTAAAGCAGATATTATTTGTGCAAAGATTTATTCTATATATTCCTTCAAGTACTCATCTAACTTACACATCACGTACAGTCAATTTGCTAAGTTAAACGAAGAAAATAGATATCAGTGAAAAATATAATGTTTCTGTCAAAAGATAAGACATATAACAACGCTTATCACATATAAGAAATCGCGTGCATATGAAGCTGGCATATCATTGAGGTACAGATATCGCTAAACGAAAAAATATACATTAATAAAAGAAATCTTAGGTCAAGTCGATTTTTAGCTTTTTAAATAAAAAAAATAAAATAAAAAAAATTGGGCTCAGCCGGGATTTGAACCCGGGACCTCTCGCACCCAAAGCGAGAATCATACCCCTAGACCACTGAGCCGTTCTTGGAATGTGAGGTTTACTTAACGACATCGTGAAATGTGCAGTAAATTTCTTTTATACGTAAATATAAAATTTTTATTTTCTCATTTAATCATAAATATATAAATAAATACCTAATTAAAATATTAAATTTGGTTAACATTGTATTAATTAAGATTAATGCATAAGTGTATTTGAGAAAATTAAAAACACAAATTTAATTATAATTATTATGAAATTAATTTTACGAGATTTGCACGATGTTCTTTCAAGATTTTATCTTCATTATGTCATAAAAGATTGTTATTATTCTTTATAAAACATGAAAGCCATTATAGTGGCATTGAAATAATGTCATATTTTGAGGCAAACAATACAATAAAAAATAAATTATAACAAATCTTACTCAAGGAAAAAAATCTTAAAAATAAACTTCCATTCTTTAGAAATCTAATATATTTGTTTAACATACCAAAAACAAATTAATGAATTGTCACGTCAGAAGAAAAATATTCCCTTTTCAACGACAAATTACACTGCAGATACAAGCCCGACCGCCATTTGGCCACGGCATTTATCACAATTAGCGCCACAAAATAGCCACTTAATTTCAGTACGGGATTCCTCCCTCTTTCTCTCCGCGAAAAAAAAGAAAGCAGCGGTACCTTCGTTTACCGGCGACAAAAAGAGCCGGCCCTTGTACCTTTGTTTCGTCGCAGTTAACTCGCTCGTAACGTGTCGTCACCCTTCCGGCAAAAACGTGCTATGGAAACGCGTCGCGACCCTTATACAAGCTGAAGGGTCGGAGAAGATTTGTGGTCGCGTTGGGTGGACCGCATAGGAAACTCAAAGGGACGGAATCCCAATCTCCTTCCATTGACGTGCGGTCAGACAGTCGATTTTGAATAGACTTCTCTAAAGCGAAAATCGAGAAGGCGCGTTTCAATTGTTCGTTCGAACGATGCCGGCGATATAGAGCTATGGACAATCTTAAAGGTTGTTGACTGACAACTTCGAAAACACGTGTATCACGCAATATAATAACTTGGCAGGTGCTACAGTTGCGGTTGTAATATCATTTTGAAGGAATATTTAATAGAAAAAATGTGATATTCTTCGCCCTAATTAATAGATTCTATATTAATACAATTATATTTGTGCAATCTAATATAGCGAAAACCATCTCTCTTATTCAAATAATTGACTTAACTCAAATGCATATTTTATTTACTTTACTAACACTCGGTATAGTATATAACATAGTTTATTACAACATCATTTGTGTTAAGGTTGTACTTTGTAATTTCAGTATTTCTAAATATAAATCTTAAATGTGTTGTTTAGATTATCTACCTTTGTCAAAATAATGACATTTAATGACAAATAATTGTAGGACTCGAGCAAAAGTGCACTCATATATAAAACATATATTTAAAAACATTTGTATATTAAAATGCATGATGCACTTACAATTATAAATAAAATTTATACTATTTGATGCAAATTATTTCACAAAAGTTATCTTTATAAAAAAATTCGCTTGATATCATCTATCTTTTTCGGAATAGTTAACCTTTATAATATGATAAATAATTAAAAAATCAGAAATCCATACATATATTAGGTGTTGGAATTAATTCGTAGCGTTTTTAATGAAAGAATGTTATTTATTTCACATGAGCATTAAAAAATACATTAATGAAAGTACTTCCCATCACTTGTAAAATGCTACGAATTAATTCCAACACCTAATATAATATATGAATATATTTAAAGATACAGAGTATATAAAAAATGAATACATATATATATATATATATATATATATTCATTATTGAGTGTAAGTGGAATATTTAAAGAAATTGCATATCAGATGCATAAAATTACAAGATTCTATCTCAACAATGGCTGCGTTCAGTAAAGAAAGCAGCTTTGCAACTGTTGCAAAATTCTCAGATATGATTAGTTTATAAATTTAGATCTAGTGAGGAACTAAGGGCAAGACCCTTTATCATATTAAAGAATTTTACAACAGTTGCAAAGCTGCTTTTTCTGCTGAACGCATCTAATAACATAAATTATAGATTTCTTAAAGCAAACTTCATAAAATTAATTTCAGATTTATTCTTATGTAATGTCAAATTATTATTATGTGCTAAATTATTATGAATATGATATTTAAGCCTCTTTTAATTATAGAAAAAAATAAAAGAAAGTGGATAGCCATTATTTAAAAATACAATCATGTGCAACACTATTAGGCACTTACTTATTTTCTCGCATTTTACGAAAAGTTAAATATCTCGGCGAAAAGAAATCTCAGAGATTTTCGCATTTTAAAGCGTAAAGATAGAACTATAAATGTGCGTTCGAATCTTTTGTCTACGATATTTTGTTTCTAAGTTACATAAAATTGAAAAATGATATCTTTGCAATGTTTTTATCTTACTTTAAAGCGCTACAATTTAATAAAACATCAATAAACAAAATTTAATATGAAAGTATCCTAAAGTAGATTTCCTAAGCTTTAAAATGCTTTTCGAAAAAAATTTGTACGATAATTTTTCGCAAAGATATTTTTTATTATATGAAATTTTATTGTGTAAAAACTTACTTTTTTAAAAATGTTTTTTAATTTCGAAATTAAAAAATATACGGAAAAAAGACAAAAGAGAAAAAATGTTTGTTATAATGTGCTTGATTCGTATAAATTTTTTTCAAATTTTTTTAAAAACTTTATTCGATCATCAATTTTAAAAAAGTTAATGTATAATATTATAAAATTTTACATAATAAAAAATACGATATCTTTGCGGAAAATTATCGTACAAATTTTTTTCAAAAAACATTTTAAAGCTTAGGAAACTTACTTTAAGATATTTTTATATCAAATTTTGTTTGCTGAGACAAAAGATTTAAACGCAGATTTAAAGCCCCATCTCCATGCTTTAAAATGCATGGTAGAAAACCTCTCTAAGATTTCTTTTCTCCGAGATATTTAACTTTTCATCAAATGCGAGAAAATAGTAAGCGCCCCTTACTTTTGCACAAACTTATACTTTTGTCTTACTTATGAGTAGCATTGGTTAAATTATTTTGATAAAACAGAGGAAGGGACAATCAAATTATTTTGTCCATAAAATCAAAGATTATGCCTCTTTTTTGACAAAACGAGTGATGTGAATAAAAATTAAGAAAAAATCTGCCAGAAAAAGTTTCTTTTTTACTTCCAAATATAAACTTTACGAAGTCGACCTCAGATAATCTATCCCACTCAGAGAAATGCCAGGTAATATATGGCATTGAATCATGAGCAGAATACATAAAGTTATGCCGATATATAATAAATATGTTCACTTACCAATCGATGTATCGCCTCTGCAACTCGATGAGCTCCTTCCTTGATGGCTCCACTGATAGATACTACACTCAGATAGGTATGCATCATGCCAAACACTCCATCGCACTAATTTAATAAAAAATTAAAGAATTAGAAATGCATACGTATATAAAATATACATTTTAAAAACCATGTATTAAAATATACGGTATACAGAATTATAAATAAATTCTATTTTAAGGTTTGAATTATAAATTTTTTAAAATAAACCTTCTCTAGAGTGAATTTTCTAAAAACTCTATTTCAGCAATGTGACAAATCATGTAAAAAAAATGTCATATCATATTATAATAATGCAGTATTGAAGCATGGTGAACAGAAACATAAAATTACACCAATATATAACAAATATATTACACCTACCAGTCGATATATCATCTCTGCAATTTGATGAGGTCGTTCCATGACTGCTTCACTGCTCCAAAAGTGTTCACTGCTCTATCGCACTAATATAACAAAACAATTAAAAACTAAATACATGTATAAAATATGCATTTAGAGGCACGTATCAAAATATACCATGTATTAAAATATAGACATAGAAATATACACATAGAATTATAAATAAAATTCTATTTCGAAGTTTGAATTATTATATAAAGTTAGTTTTCTGAAGATTATATTTCAACAATGTGTCGAACCACACAAAATGTTATATCGCTATAATGAATATATTGAATCATGACGAGCAGAATATATGAAATTACATCAGTATAACAAATATAATGACTTACCAATTGATATCACCTCTGCAACTTGATGAGTTCCTCCTTGATTGCTCCACTTCTCCAAATGTTTCATCGTACTAATACGACAAAAAAATTGACGAATTAGAAATGCAAATTAATAAATCATGATAATGCTAAAATGACATTAATGAACCGTAAAAAACTGATTGAATAATAACTCTTAGTAATAATTTTGACATTATTTCTATGATACGATGACTTATATTCTGCTTGAGATTGTACAAAAAAGTATACATTTAAAAACACATATCAAAATGCACGATATACAAAATTATAAATGCAATTTATGCAATTCTATTCTGAAAATATTCTGAATTATATGTTAAATTCTCTAAAACGAAAATTGGATTAAATTTTGTAAAAACTCTATTTCAACGTGTCAGGCCATGCAAAATGCATGAACATCGCTATAATAATGAAGTATTAAATCATGGCAAACAGAATACACGAAATTACAACAATATACAAAAAAAAAATATTCATTTACCTGTCGATGTATCGCCTCGATGAACTCTCCTTCCTTGACTGCTCCATTATTCTCAGACTTTATCGTCCAAGACGCTCCATCGCACGAATTAGCACAACACAATTACCGCCCGATTACCTCACACGACACTCTCGACGCGTTTATTTTATCTCACGATGCACCGGGAACGCGTAAACAACGCGAAGTGTAACCTCCACGTCAAGTTATCAAGATTTATCGCCAAATTATCGATCGACAATGTTCTATCACCCCCACGTCGCAGGGCGAATAATTAATGCGACACAGCAAACGGTTTATCCGCGCTCTCCACGCTTTTGTCGTCGACATCATTCGCGAGTGCCACATAACCAACGTGAAACATCCAATCGTCCATCGTCGATTGATTTCACCGACACGATTCATGCACTTATGACAGATTCGCGACAAATAATTAACGAGACATAATCTCCCCGCACTTCTCACCGTAAACCGAGTTCACGGTAAACCGACGCGAATGCGACGCATAAACGGTTATTTATTATCTCGCGATTTCGTCGAACTTGTCGAGCATCCCGCGCGCCGAATATCACGCTCGTGACGTACTCAAGAATGTAGTTAACGCAACACAAGTCATCTACAATAAAAGCCGATATTTCCGATGCTTTTGGCGCTCGAAATACGCCCGAAATACGCTCAAACGAACAATGCAAAATGGCGACTTTCTTCCTTTCCTCCTCTACTTCGCTACGTCGAATGATTCGACTCGCGCTAACTTCACGATACAGGGTTCTTCACGAACATTATAACGCGCGGGAACTTGAACGATTTTAAAATCGTCAAATAAGATCGGTCAAGTTCCCGCGCATTATAACGTTCGTCAGTCCTGCGTCGTCGTGAAGTTAGCGCTATATTGGCAATATCATTCGATACAGTGAGGGTCGCCATTTCGCGTTGCTTGTTCCGATCGTATTTTGGGCGTACTTCGAATGCAAAAAGCAAATCAGGAATGTTAGTTTTTATTGCAGATAGTTGTATCGCGTGTTTGTCTCAAGTACGTCACGACTGTGATATTCGGCGCGCGAGGTGCTTGCTAAAATTCCACGAAATTGCGAGACAATAAACGACCGACATGTTTACGCGTCGCGTCCGCGTCGGTAGTGTTGATTGTTAGTTCGGTGAGAAATACGGAAGGATCGAATAAGACAATGGATGGTCGTGTTCCGTTGATTACTTGTCGCCAGTCTATTACGAGTGCACGAATCATGTCGGCGAAATCAACGGTGGTCTATCGGATGTTTCACATTGGTTATGTGACACTCGCAAATGATGACACCAATCAATTAAGGTTTATTAACGTTAGCATTACTTATTAATTTACTTAGGTACGTATGCATTGCTAATTCTTCAATTTTTTGTTATATAGTATGATGGAACATTTTGAGCAGTGAAGCAGTCAAGGAAGGAGCTCATCGAGTTGCAGAGATACGTCGATTGGTAAGTCAATATATTTATAATATTATATATTGATGTAATTTCATATATTATGCTTGTTGTGATTCAATACTGTATCATTTGTAGCGATATAACATGCATTTTATTAATATCGTTTGATACAAAATAAAATCTTTAAAAAAGAAAGCTCACTTTAGATATATAAAATATATAATTCAGATTTCAGAATATAATTTTATTTATAATTCTATGTGCGGAGCATTTTGATACATATGTATCTTTAAATACATATTTTATATATGTATTTATTTTGAATTCTTTAACTTTTTGTTATATTAGTGTGCTGAACCATTTGGAGCAGTGGAACAGTCACAAGGGAGAAGCTTATCGAGTTGCAGAGGCGATACATCGACCGGTAAGTGAATATATTTGTTATGTATCGGCGTGACTTCGTGTGTATTCTGCTCGCCATGATTCAATACTGTAAATTATATGGCATTTCTCTGACTGGAATAGATTATTTGGAATTGATTCTATAAAATTTATTTAGAGAGAGAAGATATATGAATTACATTAGAGTATTCTATTTATAATTTTATACTGTTAAAAATAAAATATTAATTTTAACTTAAAGACGTATAGTGGACTTTCTGAGACATGTTAAAATTAACCTTTGTTAAAACCATAATGTTAAAATTAACATTTTTGCATGTTAGAAAATCCGTTATACGTCTTTAAGTTAAAATTAACGTTTTATTTTTAACAGTGTATGTAAGATGCAATTGATACATAAATAAAGATGACGTGTTATATAAAATATGATATATAAATAAATATATTGACATATAAGAAAAAGACGTTGTTCCTACATATAGCAATTATTACGAAGAATATTAAGGTCTCGGTAGTTTATAAAAGGCTCGCACGGAATGCAAGAGATCCGGGTTCGACTCCCGGCCGAGATAATATTTTTCGCAATAAGAATTAATTACAGATTTTAATATGTCACTCAACATTATTAAAATCGTTTAAGATGCGAAGAAGCATTAAATTATTAAACTGCTAGTAGTCAATTTAACTCGTAATATTACTGCTAGTTTAGTAGAGATTGCATTTTAAGACCGAAAAATTATTTCAGCACGCAGCTTAAAAGACTACATACCTATATAAATTAACATAGAATTATATAAGCACTTAAGATCCAGCTTAGACCGTTAAAGGTATTTATCTCTATTGCTTGTGTCCTCACATATACGATCGAATGAGATTCAATATTTAATATTGATATATAATATAAATTTTTTCAAATATATGTATATCTTCTATATATTTTTGATTTTCTAAACTGATGTTAAAGAAGTTGATGATGTTTCTCACACTATATAGTCAAAATGAAAAAGTCAAATTTGAAATTAACTTTATGAAGTTTATTTTAAGAGAAAGCTGTAATTTATATTATTGTTAGGATAAATTTTTTGAATTTTATATATTTATTGATATACGAGTATTATCTTTGAATATATTCTATTTACGTATGCATTTTTTATTCTTCTATCGTTTGTCACAATACATTTTGACTATTCTGACAAGAATTTCTGAAAAAAATTGTGTATAAGTTAAAGTTGATGAGTTACATTAGAATTTTATTTATTAAGAATTACATGAGATAACGCTATTGCTAAGATATTTTTATATTCACAAGCAATGTATAATTTTTAATTGTAAATCATCATTTGATAAATAACTGAACACACATATGTTTATGCATGCATGGCAATGTATTAACGTAATAAATTGTTGTATACAGATATAAATTCATACATATTTAATTATTCATCAAATTACGATTCACAATTAAAGTTAATGATACAATATCAAAAGTTAGTAACATCATTACTTTAATTTGATTATTATTGGCGAATATTATATCTGGATCATTATTATTCTTAACTCTGATGTATATCTGATCACATCACATATTATATCATATTAAGCATTGTTCGTTAACTATTGTAAGCAATAGTTTCGAATTTGAATTTCATTGTGAGCAATTGCTGTGTGCATTTTTTTATAAACGCATACAATCTTCAGATAAGCTCGGGACATTCGCCGGTTAATTTTCAACGAGATAATCCACCGATGACGATCCTCGATTATCCTCGCCCCTCGTTCCACGCCTTTTAACATCATTTTAACGCGTTACGATACCGATCTAGCTAGTCGTCACACGAGATGCGTTTCTCCAACTCGCGGTTTTTCCGGGAAGGAGTTTTCGTAAAACCGACCCGCCATTCTCGCCGAGTCAGCGCGCTAATCCTTATTTAACCCGGAGTTTATCGGCCGCATCGAGGTACGCGGGATTAACTTAGACGCGCGCCAACACAATGGGACGCACGAGGGGACACCACTTAACGCACCTTCGGCCTCTTCTATCTCGATGCTGAGAACGATAGAGATCATAAACGAGAGTTGTCAGTGCTTTTGTACCTGCGGATCGCTCGACGAAGCTTTTTCGCTTTTCTTTTTTTCTTTTTGTAATGGAAATAGAGTGAGGAATTCTGGTTTGACTCACTGGGATGTATCTCTCCGATTGACGCATCCAAGATGCGATTCAATCCATAGCATTGAAGATAAATTAAAACGTCGAACGCCGCGATGTTCTCGTTTCGCGAAGATGTATTCTACTAAATATTTCCGATGATATAAAATGTTCTTTACAATTGCTAACGTCAGCGAATAAGATATTATTGTACGATCATATTATCCATGCTTCCTGAAAGGATAAATATACGTTACGATTCCACGTAACATCTATGCTTTCTAAAAGAAACTTTATATGAAAAATTATATTTCTGGATGTCAAATCTTCTTTTAACTGTTCAGATAATTCTGGGGAAATAAGGTAGATATTTTTACGTTGCAAACATAAATCGTACATCATTCTGTTTCGTATTCTTATTTTGATATTTATTCTTATTTGATTTGTTCTGGTAAGATGTAGCAATAGTGTGTCTAAATTTAGATTTTTGAGATTTTGATAAATGAGTGCACTAATAATATTATTATAACTATAATTGATATAATAACGCAGTTAGCACTCATTTATCATCCTCAACGAGGATTTTATTACTGCATTTC